TCTGCTTCTGTGGCACTGACCACGCCCATTGGGGATGGAGACAGGGGCAGAAGTGACCTGGGGAATTAGGTCTGAGGAGGAGCCCAGAGAGCGCTCTCTTGCTGGCTGGACTGGACAGGAGAGCATCCAGAGGCATCCTTGAGACCAGGAACATGCTGGTGTTCATCTTTCTATGTTGTAAGTTATTTATCTCTGAATAAACATCTATTTGGCCTACTTGTTTATCCTGATCCTTATTAAGCCACTTTACATAAGGAAATGTGACTTGTGGTAGCTAATTTTGATTCTAAATATGACAAGATCTGGAACTAAGGTGAGTCTGTGAGGATGTTTCCAGAAAAGGGAAGAATATCTTAAATGGGTGGCACTTTTTGATAGATAGCCCAGATACAAAACTATTTGAGGGAGGACTCAAGAGATAGCTTAGTGGTTAAGAGCACTGACTGCTCTTCCAGAGGACTGGGGTTCAGTTTCCAGCACCCACATGGAGACTCACAGCAGTCTGTACCTCCACTTTTAGAGGAACTGACACTCTCACACAGACATACATGCAGGCAAAATACCAATGCACATAAAAATAAATATTAAAAAATGTTTGAGGCAAATAGTGTTGTTTGCCTGCCTGTCTTTTGGCCATCCATCTTTACTGACATTAACTTCTGCTTCCTCGGCCCTCCATTGTAGACTGAAGACCAGAAATTTTCCATGAGATATCCAGACCTTTGAGTACCAGTCTGGAACTGCTGAGGTATCCACTGTCATAGACATATAACTAATGTGTTTAATGTGTTCTCTCCAGTTGCAGATGGCCGCTGTTGAACTAATCAGGCATTGCTGATTGTACAGCACTCTAAGAAATTGTGTGTGTGTGTGTGTGTGTGTGTGTGTGTGTGTGTGTACATATTTCTCCTATGGGACTCTACCTGATCAGGAGGATCGGTAGGAAGCGGAACTGTGATGTAGAGAAGAAGGGGGTCCTGAGGGGACTTGGAATGACAAGGGTGATTTTGGAAGGAAAAAGGACTGTGTGGAGAGAAAGCAGTACTTGAGTTGGTGGCACTGGAGGTGGTGCTCTTCCAGATGACACGGGAATGTAAAGGGTGACTATGCAATGGTCACAGTGCGGCATGAAGCAAAGAGTGCTAGGAATGAGGGGACTGCTGAGGAAGGAGTCCATCCAAGGAAGTGTAGCTATTATGGGAGAGGCCAGAGTGGTCCCTAATGACAAAGAGCAAAGTCGAGGCTGTGGTACAGCTCAGTAGCAGAGCTTGCATTGTCCCAGAGCCACAAATATAAACACAATGCTCTAGTTGGACAATGGAGTCCACTGATAAATCTTGAGAGGGTAGGCTACGATAAGAAAGAATAGGGTCTAAGGAGTTGAGGATGTATTACATGCCTGCTCAGTGTGTTCCTGTAGGTGGACAGGGGGATCATAGCTCATCACTAAATGGAAATGGCAGTCCAGAGAGGTACAGACAGTGACCCAAGGATGGGCCAGGCAGGGGCCACACCTTCAGCATGCTGCAGCAAGGCCACAAATCCATCAGTGGAAACTGAATGGGCCAGGGATGTCCATGCTTTGTGCTCCCCTCCCTGGGAGCTCCTGTGTAGGATACATTTGCATAAATAGGGGAAGAGACCACAGACCATGAGTCCTGGTCATAATATGACCTGAAGTAGGCTGGGGGCCGGGAAGGGAGAGGAGGAGTAAGGCCTCTGAGCTCAGAGTGGGCAGACAGGAACAAAGGGGATGCTGGGACTGAGGAGAGAGGCTTCCCTAGGCCCTCCCTCCCTCCTCTATTGCCTGTGTTCCAGGCCTCTCCCAACCCGAGTTCATGAGCACCTTTCCTCACCCCTTGGGAACAGATCTACTCTGACACCCCCAGACCCACCTACTGCCACACTCACCATGGCCAAATGACCCCAAAACCAGTTCGGTTTAGGGGGCTGAGGGAAGCAACGAAGGCGGCAGCAGTTGTCATAAAAGACATAGATCCAGGCCAGAATTCGGGCCAGAATCCAGGAGGCTCCACCCAGCAACAGGAGATGCCACGGGGAGGCAGCCACAGGCCCCAGTCCCAGCCAAGACAGGCTCAGCTGTAGCATCCTGCAGGGCAGCAGATGGGCAGAGGGTGAGATTCTGAGGCCCAGGAGAGAGATAGGCAAATGCAGGTTTAGTAGATAGAGTTATAACCATATAGGCTGGGATGACTTGTTGGCAGAGAAGGAGGAAGGGCAAGGAGCACACAATGAGAGAAGAGGAACAACAGGAGAGGAAGGGACTGCAGGCAGGAACTGTTTGCATTCTACAATGGCTCAGCCTGAAGCACAGACCCTAGGTGCAATTACCAGGAAACCACAAGTCTCCAAAGCCCGCAGACACCCTGCAGCCCTCCCAGCTGTGGGAGGAGTTCTCCCTGTTCAGGGCCAGGACCTTCTTTCCTGCCTCCCAGCCTGGCACCTTCCCTCAGGAGCAGCGAGTCTTACGGGACCTCTTGTCTTCTTGGAAACGTCTTTGTCCCTGGCTTCTGACCTGCCGGAAGCTGCAAACTGCGTGGGGAACTGGATGGACTGAGCTGAACCAGCCAATCCCTCTCAGGCCCAGCTGCAACCTCCCGGCTTTGGCAAGTGGCCAAGGAGAAGGGGGCGGGTCCAACCTTAAACAGACTGAAACTGGTTGAGAGCCCCGGAATCCTCAGGATTCAACACTTTCTATCTGCACCAGGGACATAGATGTCTTGAGACTCCAAGTTTACGACTGCGCCTGGCCTCCCAAGGCCAAGGGTTGGCAGATAAAAACATGAACACCATAGTTCAGGTGCCAGGGTGCCAGGTTCAGGCCACGCCTATTGCAGGAGGGCCTCTTCTAGCAACTCTACACAGCAGGCTGGGGGACAGCATGCAGTATTTCTCAGTGCAGAACTGGGAGTCTCTGAAACGTCCCTGCCCACTAACTGCACAGCCTGACAGAGGTCAATTTCTTCCTTCTCGCACCACAGGTTCTGGGTTGACAGAAGAATCCCAGAGCAAGGACAAATAATGCAACTCTGCTGGAACCAACGGGGTCAGAGTCTATAGATAAAGCTTACCTGGAGGCTGAGGTGTCAGAGGTCCAAGGGAAAGCTTGCAGGTAGAGGGGCCATGAGCAGAGGAGGTACAGGCAGTGGAGGGCAGAGCAGGCCATGGGCTAGTGTCATAGATGCTCATTCAATACTGGGGCTCAGACAACTTTTGAAGCCAAGGGGAGGATCACAAGTTTCAAGACCAGCCTTATGTATGCGGGAGAACTTGTCTCAAAAAAAAAAAAAAAAAAAAATGTTGGAGTGGCTGTCCATACAGAATCCTGAGGGCATATTGAGGGCATCACAAGACTGAATGGGGGGAATATACCAAATTCCTCAGCCAGTCTGGCAAACATCAACCATCCCAAGCTAGAAAAGGAACTCTTAAAGAAGGGGGTGGGTTCCTTCACATATTCATTCACTGGTGAATGCAGCAGGTGGTGGCACCTCACAGCAGGTCCCTGCAGATGTGGCTATGTGGAAAGTTTTATTGAGTGGGGAGCAAGGGAATGGAGAAAGGGAAGGGAGGGGGAGAAGAGAAGGAGAGGGAGAGAAGGGGGAGGGGAAGAACAGTGGAAAAGAGAGTGTAAGTGGGTGGAGTTTCCCTCTTAAAGGAACCTTTGCACCTGTGACTAGTAGCCATGACGACAGAGGGCAGGCCAGCATAAAGCCTGATCACTATAGTTGATCCTGTAGTGGCGTTGGAAGCTGCAGTGTGCCACTCAGTATACTCTTTTGCCCAAACAACTTCACTTGCAAATGTTCATTGCAACGAGTCGTTGAAGTCATTGATTTCTTTCAAGGCCTCTGCCTACTGCTACACCAGCAACACTGGACCCCCACCGAGGCTCCTGTCAGATATCCTGCTCTTGCGCTGAGTCATGAAAATCCTCGGGCTGGGCTATGATGGAGAGGTGGGAAGGACGGAGGAGTGGAATGATACAGGTGCAGCAGCGAAAGCTGAGATGGGACAGCTGTGATAGAGTGAGAGAAGACTGTGGCTGCTGGTGGAGCAGGTCGTGTCCAGAGAGGTCGGCGAGATGTTTTATTTATTTGTTTTTTTTGCTTTTTGGGGGGGAACAAGTTACAATGGGGGAGGGCAGATATGGAAGGACTGGGAAATGAGTGGGATTGGGGTGTATGATGTGAAATTCTCAAAGAATCAATAGAAAATTATGTTTTAAAAAAAAAAGCAGCCCCTTCCTACCATGGTGGCAAACCATGCTTCCTCTTTCATTGAAAGCTGATTGTGCGTTTTCTGTGTCAACTTGGTTGACTGACATTGCCCAGTCATTTAATGAAAAAGACATCTAGGTGTGTGTGTGCACACGTGCGGCTGGGGGGTATATTTAATTTTCTTTATTATATTTTTTTCTTTTGTGTATGTGTGCACACTCATGTGCCATGGCACATTTCAGAGAACAATTTATAGGAGTCAGTTCTCTCTTTCCATTACATAGGTGCAGAGCGTTTATTATGCACAGCACAAGGGGGAGGGGCTAACTGGCCGAGGTCTGGAAGTTTCTACTGGGGAGCAATTTGGGCCAGTAAACATCCACATCAGAGAGGGAGGAGGAAGCTGTGATTGACAGTTTCTGCATACACAGTTTTAGCTAAAGTTCAATGGTTAGACAGTGCTCATATTTGGAGCAAGGGAAGGCTTTGCCATCCCTTTGAGCCTCATCATTTTTCATGGGTCTGAGGCCTTTGCTCTATCAATAACTATGGGCATTCAGGACTGTATTGGCTCCGTGCAGCCCCACACCCCAGGTCGTTCTTTCCTCAAGTTCTTTTTAACATCTTTGTTGTTGTTGTTGTTGTTACTATGAGAAAAGTAACTACTACAGTCAGCCTTCTGCTACTGTGGTAAAGCATAGGAACAATTATAGGGATAAATGTATATCTTGGCTCACTCTTTCAGAGGTTTTAGGTCACAATGAGCTGCTTTTGTTCATGGAGCAGAGCATAATGTTAGGGAACCATGACATAGCAAACTTCTCATGGTGACTGAGAGAAAGGAGAACAAGAACTGAGGACTCAACATTCCTCTCATGGGCATACCCCTAAAACCTAAGTCCCACCCAGTGGGCCCGACCTCTGACAGCTTCCACCCTCTATGTAGCACTCCCGGCTCAGGGCTCAGTACCAGGTCTGAACCCAACACAGTAACTTTGAGGAGTGTGCTGGCTAGTGTTTGCCAACTTGACACAACAGATTCACCTGGTAAAAGAGAAGCTGAACAACGAGATGCCTCCAGCACTGTAGGCGATATCTGTGAGGCACCTTATTGATTGTTCACTGATGTGTGAGGGCCCAGCCTATTGTAGGACAGTGGTATGAGCCAGGTGCAGTGGTATTTGTCACTAAGGATGTAGAGGGAAGAGGATTAGGAATTAAAGGTCAATTCACACACACACAGAATTTGAAGTCAGCCTTGTCCACATGAATCCTTGAGTTAGAAAAGATTACACACAAAGACAACAAAGGCAGAACAGATATTTATAAAGGGCTTACACATTTATTTGAATAAATAGGGGCTTTCTATACTTCAGGGTGGAATGACCTATTTTTATGAAGATGTAAATTTGCCCTTAGTCCTAGCACTTGGGAATCAGATTTCTGAGTTTGAAGCCAGCCTAGTATTTAGTTCTAGGAGAGCCAGAGCTACACAGGGAAATCTTGCCTTGAAAAAAAAAAAAAAAAAAAAGGAAAAGCAAAAACAAAACAAACAAGTAAAAACCTTGCCTAATAACAACAAAACAAAGAAGTAAATTATTTCTGTTAGTAAATGTATTCAATGCAACCTAATAAAATTCTACCTGAGAAGCATCTTCAATAAATGGTGCTAGTATAACTGGATGTCAACATGTAGAAAAAATAGAACCATATCTATCACCATACACAAAACTCAAGTCCAAATGGACCAAAGACCTCAACCTAAAACCAACCACATTGAACCTCATAGGAGAGAAAGTGGGAAGTATCCTTGAGTGCATAGGCACAGAAGACCACTTCCGAAATATAACACCAGTAGCACAGACACCGAGAACAACAATGAATAAAAGGGAATCTTGAAACTGAGAAGTTTCTATAAAGCAAAGAACATGGTCAACAAGACAAAATGGTAGTCTATAGAATAGGAAAAGATCTTTACCAACACCTCCTCCACCTGACAGAGGACTAATCTCCAAAATATACAAAGAACTCAAGAAACTAGACATCAAAAGACCAAGTAATCCAATAAAAAAAATGGGATACAGATCTAAACAGAACTGTCAACAGAGGAATCTCAAATGACTGAAAGACACTTAAGGAAATGCTCAACCTCCTTAGTCTTCAGAGAAATGCAGATCAAAATGATTCTGAGATACCATCTTACATCTGACAGAATGGCCAAGATCAAAAACTCTGATGACAGCTTATGCTGGCTAGGATGTAGAGTAAGGGGAACAATCCTTTATTGCTGGTGGGAGTACAAACTTGTACAGTCACTTTGGAAACCAGTATGGCAGTTTCTCAGACAATTGGGAATCAAATCAATCTACTCAAGACCCAGAAATACCACTTTTGGGCATATACCCAAAGGATGCACACTCACACCACAAGGACATTTTCTCAACTATGTTCATAACAACATTATTTGTAATAGCCAGAACCTGGAATCAACCTAGTTGCCCATCAACTGAAAAATAGATAAGAAAAGGTGGTACATTGACACAATGAAGTACTACTCATCATTAAGAAACAATGACATCTTGAAATCTGCAGGCATATGGACAGAACTAGGAAAAGCCATCTTGAGTGAGGCAACCCAGACCCAGAAAGACAAATATGTATTCATTCATAAGTGGATATTAGACTTAAAGCTAAGTACAACTAGCCTATAGACCACAACTCCAGAGAACCTAGGTAACTAAGAGGACCCATAAGAGACATACAAGGGAAAAAAGACAAGATCTCCTGAGGCAGAGGGGAGGATGAAAGGGGAGAGGGGAGGTCAGAAGGGAAGTGGGGGGAATGTATAGCTCAATAAAAAAAAATCCTACCTGGGATATGCTTTAGAATCTGACTATAGTTGTTCCTTTCTAGCACTGGCACAGAGACAGCCTTGTGCATCCAGGTAAGCCATCTCCACTGCTGAGCTGTGTCCTGGGCCTACGAAACTTACTCTGTTAAGAAGAATTAAAGCTCATTAAGAGGTACATCAAATTTAAAATAGAAAAGGGATGGTGAGATGGCTTAGTGGGTAGGGATGCTTACACCAAGTGTTATTGTGGTGAG